TTTTTGTAAAAGGCAGTTCCGCCTAAAAAACAGTTTAAATCCCATCAACCATTCTGGCCAAGGCAACCTCTTTATACTGAGATAAATTGTTAAAGTCCTCACCAGTCTGAGGCAGGAAAAGAACTTACTTGGGAGATATTCCTCACCCAAATTCACAATCGTTTGTTTGCAGAAATCAGTAACTTGGGACGCAAGTTATCCATTCCAAACCAAGTCTGCTAGAAATTTTGCTAGCAGTGGCACGCTCGCACACCAAAGAAAGCTGACTTGTTGACCAGTTTATGGTTCTCAAGGCAGTGGGGAACTTTGCCCTTCCATCATAAGAGTAAACCAAGAACGGGTGAACATGCACATGTTGCAATATTTGTTCGTTGGAGGATGCAATACTTGTTCAATTGCTTCCAAATGTAGATACGTGACAGTAGACACTCAAGTGAACAACTTTTAAGAAGAAAGAAACTTCAATTGAGCAATGGAAATTCCCTGTCGGGCACAATTCATATGACTTCAGTTATGCTTAGCCATGGGTTTGGCTATATTCTTGTTCAAAGAGCAATATCTCCTATTCTAAGACAAAATTCTATTTTTGGTCAAAACAGTACCATATATGGATTGATAGGTGGAATCCAATAGTCCAAATTCGATAATCATATTTGAATTTGGATTGAGGTATATCCAATTCGAATCTAATCCGTTTACAAGCCTAATTAAGGTTTGCTTGACAATGAAAGCGTTTTGAATATATGAATTCTTGAATTGATATTTATTTATATTTACTAAAATAATGAATTGATATTTATGTCAATTAAAAAATAAAATAAACAAGAATGTATTTATCTTGCTTATTTTATAAGAGCATCTCCAACCAATATGTGAAAAATAACACATCAACCCATTATAATTTCCCTATTTTAAAACTTTATGCGTCATATGAGTCTCATTTGCTTTGAAAACTATAATAAAATAAGATGATATTTGGCATTTTAGATGGAGTTAAATTTTTCCCAAAGTATCAAATTGCCACACAAGCCATCAAATTCAAATTTAACATTTTGCATTTGACATCTCCCTTGGAGATGCTCTAAATTTCATAATTTATCTTTCTTTTTTACGTGTGTAGTTGTTAGTTAAATGTATATATTATTTTATGGTAAGCAATCGAGCACATTATTTTTTTGTTGAAATGAAGCACATTATTTTATGGTAAGTAATTGAGCACATTTATTTCTAACCTGAAAAAATCCAGTACATTTTATCTGCGAGCTTGGTTATTACCATTTGTTGACAAATATGACGAAGAAAAACATTTTTTTTCTTTGAGAACCTCATAGTCTCATAGACATGATAATTTAATTTTCTCGAGCCGTACGTGGAGAAAACTTCTAGGCAAAGAAAAAAAAAGTTAAATGAAAGGGCTATCTGGTAATTTAAACGAAGTGAAAGTTTCGCACGCAAATATCTCTGTACGTGCTTGCCCAAAGCAAAATACATTTCTCAGCGAGGGTTTACAGATTTGCACTTTCTCTCTCTGTCGCTCTTTTTCTGTGTATGAAGCTGACGAGCTCTCACCTGCTTTGCCGTCGAATTCCGGGCCGGATCTTCGATTAGGTAACCCGTTGCGTTTCAAGCTGCACCTTTCCCTTTTGTGTTATATCGTCGTCCACATTTTTACTGTTTTCGAACTCAAACGTCAAAACGCTAAGAAATCGAATTCGGATACTTTCTGGAAATATCAATTTTTGTTTTTGAAGGCCAACATTTACTTCCTGTATACAATTTGCGATGGTTTTGGTTCAAGCGTTATCTGTATTTTACTCATTTCGAGCTCCGAATTTCATACAACAAGGGCCAAGGTAGTGTTTTGGTCAAAATTTGGGGTTTCTTGTGTGCTTGTGTGTTAAAGTTGACTTGGGTTTTTTTGTTTAAATTGAATTTCAAAATTGGCTTAAATTGATAGTATTATTACTGTATTCAATTTTAGAAACTAGTTAGGAAGATCTCAGTGATCTAATTGATCAATATCTCAAATAGGAAGTATTTGTAGCCGCCATTTGATGTTTTTAAGAATTTTTTACTTTGCATAAAATAAAATGCACTTATTTCACCACTGTATTCAATGCTTCTCTCTCATATTAGTTGATGGGGAGAGGACTTATTTTCTTGGAAGACAATCTAATGCATGAGTGTAGATGTTGATAAGCAGGTCTATTGGCTAGGCTTGTCTTAGTGGTTTTTTATTTATTTATTTATTACAATCAGGAGCTCAAAGCTATTGGTTACTACAGTACATCAAAATTGCAATCCTCAACCATATATGTGAATGGTGTTTCTGATTTCAATCTTGAACCAGAAAATTCGTTCATTGACTATGATAGCTATGTTTTACTGCTCTTTGATTTCACTAATTGCATGATTAGTTCAAATGAGATGGCATCTTCGCATAATGTCGAGTTGGAGGCAGCAAAGTTTCTCCACAAGCTCATTCAAGATTCTAAAGATGAGCCTGCCAAACTTGCCACAAAGCTTTATGTGGTTAGTATAGTTTTCTCTCAACAAATTTTCCTTTTATCTCTTCGTGCCCTCTGTTTACTTCTATTTGTTATGACATCAACGTACATGTATTTATTTACATTGTTTTTGAGAAATGCAGATATTACAACACATGAAGTCAAGTGGGAAGGAACATTCCATGCCATATCAAGTGATATCAAGGTAAAGATTAATCATTTTTCACTCTATTTGATGGTATTTTGTTAATAGTGGACTTATTTTATGATAATAAGAAATATATGAAAAATTGCATGAGTTATATGGACCCGTGAATACCAATGAGCTGTTAGTTCAGTGGTTGGGAATCTGGTTGGGCCCTGGCATGTGGTCAGGGGTTCGACTCTCATCATTGTACCTATCTAGCAATTTGCCAGTGTTTCCTGGCCCCAAAGATTGTAGGGTTCGGGGGTGGGCCCCAGTTTGGAAGCTGAGTCAGCAATGTTGACAAAGTGGAGAAAATGAAATAAAATATAGACCCGTAAATGAATTTAAAAACTGTGCTAGCATTGTTATCATTTTACATGGGGTTGGTGAATTTAGTAAATCCTCATGACAATGAACTTGTAATCTACGAGCTTGCAACTTCCAAGGACATGAATTTTATGTACTTTATTAGTCTGGAGGATGAGGCTGCATTTTAATTTATTCAGGTATTCACATCACACGGTGAGGGTAGTTGAATTGTATCCAATAATATTGGTTAGGCCATTAAGTAATTTACTTGTATTCGGTAGAAAATAATATTATTTTAAGATAAACTGCTTTGGTATAGAAGATTCTTTTACATGAAACTATTTTTTCTGGGTGAGTTGTTCTTAACCTCTTGTCTTAATTCATATCTGATACTCGTGTTTGTCTTGGTTTTTCTTTTTGTTTTAGTATATCAATTATTTCTGAGGAGAAACGCAACTTATACCTGAAATGCCTGCATTCTCTTACTTGAATTGTCAATTATGTCTTTTTTCCCCATCATAGCTTTTCATTTTCTCTAACTTATCTTCCTTCATCCACTAAGGGCCATGGAGACTGTTATTAATCAACATGGTCTTGATATTGAAGCTTTGAAGTCATCACGCCTTCCTTTGTCTGGTGGAGCTCAAACAGGTAATTATTTTCATTTTAATTAAACCAATTCTGCCAATCATACTTTTTTGTCATGTTGAGATAACTGTGCAGCCATTTTTCTGCAGGGTCTTCTCAGGCTGTTGGAGTTTCAAAAGATTCCAAAACAGGTTTGGCCGAAAATGAGATGTCTAATATGGACCCGTTTTCTACAAGTAGACCACCTGTTGGCCCTAGCAGTACAGGTCATGATTATTATCAAGGATCTACTACTCACCGGAGTAGTCAGTCTTTTGATCATGAAAGTCCATCTAGCTTGGACTCTAGGTCTGCCAATTCACAGTCACAAGAAAGGCGTGATACAGCAAACTGGGACAAACAGGTGAATCGAAAGGATGGTAAAAAAGCCACCACTAAGAGGAAGAGGGGGGATGAACCACATCTTGATAACCCCCAACATCTTGATACTCGAAATGCTATAGTTAATACGAGGAAGGGAAAGATAAACAAGGTTGAACCATCGGCTGGTTTCCCAATTAAAGGTGGTGAAAATGCTAATTTTAATATTGCTCCAAGTAGTGGTCAAATGGAACATTTTACATCTTTCTCTGGAAGCATGAGACCACTGCTTAGAGCCAAGCAAGAAGGTCAAAATTTGATAGAAAAGCAGTTGGATTTGACAAACACTAGCAATTCGATGTCTCGGACCCCGAATGCAAAACACCCTGAAGAAATGGAAGTTTCTTCTACTCATAATGCTTTAGCACAGCAGCAAGCTGCTCCTGTACCTCTTACACATGACACTATGGGTGTGTGGAATCAAAGTAAAGCTGGGTTTCCATTTGATAAGTCTCAAGTTCCCAGGTTTTCTTCTAATGTTGTTGTCCCAAGTAATATGACAGCAGAAATTCAAATGCAGCAGTCAACATCTCCATCACCTGGATCAAGTAAGCATTTGGAAAACATTGTTTTTAAAGTTGCAGAATTAACTTGTTGGAAAGCAATGCACCTGAATTTTTGTGCTGGAAAAATTAAAGATGTTTCATATCAATCAGGATCAAAATTGGTATAGAAAAATTTGGACCTTGAACCATGTCCTTAAACAATCTCCTGACCTCCAGATTAGTTGATTTTGATATCAACTTTGGTTGAATTAAAACCATGAATTATCTTTGTTCTTGATATTTTCTCCTTTGTTCATTTATTTACAAACGAAGAAACTATTCAAGTTATCGATCAAAAAGAAACTATTCAAGTTGGGGTTAATCTTATTAAGGAGGCCAAACCTCTAATATCTCCTGGGTCATTGAGTAATTAAGGCTCACATTATATTGTTGGAAATTCAGGTTCTTTTGGCAAGATTCAAGGAGGTGTTCCAGTTACATCTAGTTCATATCAAGTGGCAGAACCAGGATTCTCAAGTCCAATGCAATACAGTGGGACGATGCCTTCAACTGGAAAGGTCTCTGAGCATGATGGAGGAAATACTAATATATTAGCCGATGCAAATAAGATATTTCAGGTACTCAATTTTCCCCCTTCTGTTCGCTACTTTTAGGCAAAATGAGGGCATTGTGCTCAATTGTATCCATGCTGAACTTCAGTGATTTGTAATGTTCTCACATGATATATGAGGATGAAGGTGAAATAAAAGAGAACATATAGCTACTACAATATGCTTACCATATGTATTTCTTCTTTCAAATGTTAGGGCAAACATGTAGTTCTGAGAATATGTGTATGCTGCATGTGTTCTGCATGACTTCGATCCTTTTGTTTTATCATTTTGCCCATCTTCTTAACTGACGTTGTCTAGCTGTGATTTGATACGTGTAGATTATTTTTAAATTTGTTCTTGCACATGAAACCGTTTGCAACTCTACTGTTTGAAAGCTTGTGTATGTAATTTGCTTATGCTACATTTGTTCATAGGCTGGAAGGCAAAATAGTGCATTAGAAATGAGTATGCTGAGAAGTGCAGCTGTGAGAGATACTGGTAAAACTCCAGTCCACCTGTCTCCTGGCTCTCCTGGCATGCCTTTCAAGGAACAGCAGTTGAAACAGCTCAGAGCACAGTGCCTTGTCTTTTTAGCATTTAGGTAGTTTGTTTTATTTTCGTTCTGATGCTATTTTTTTTGGTATGTGGTTCAAATCTTTGTCTTGGTTGGGTTAAATTGTGGTTTTCTGCATGCAGAAATGGTTTGATGCCAAAGAAACTTCATCTTGAAATTGCACTGGGAAATGTTTTTCCTAAAGAAGGTAACTATTTTCAATTTTATTTAAAATGAAAGTCCTCAATTTTTACTAACTTGCCAAGTTGCAGCAACTTTTATATTACCGTCCTTGATGTATGAAATTATAAAATCTTAGGTGGCAGTACGGAAGGGCCTCGAAAAGAGTTCATTGACCATAAAGGAAAAACACAATTTTCAAATGAGCAAAACAGCATTTCTGATTCCACTACACCATATGGAAGACTTAACAGTGAGAGGGAAACTGATAAAATTCTTCCCGGTGCCTCGTCCACCGGAAAATTCCTGGAGACCGAGTCTTTGTCAAAAGAAACTGAGAACCCAAAGATGGAAGAAAAGAATGGCCCACCTCCGGATCTATTTGTTCTCGCTGAAGAAAGAAAGCATCTTCTTGCTTCACAAAAACCAGAATCTGAGACACAGACCCTGGAGACCACAGCCTCACCAGCATGTTTAACCATGACATCACAGCAGCCTGAATCTTCAGGTGCGAGGAGTGGTTTACCTGTTAGTAATCCTGTGGAAAATATGGAAAATGGACATTTGCAAGTTGGAAGGGCTAACCAAACTTCTTCTCTAATGGGTATGAATAAGCAGAATTCTGAGATAATCAGCTGGACTGGAGTTGGCAATCAGAATGAAGTTTCCAGGGGACTGTTACCAGCCTCTGCTGGTCAGCCAGAGTTGGTGTCTGAAAGAAACAATAATGCACCTGGTCAGTTCCCAAATCTTGGTAGCAGCAGTGCTCTGGGTAGTCAACATACTGATAATCACCCGACTTCTTTTTCATTCGGAGATCGTTGGAAACCAATTTCTGGAATTGGCAATGATCATCACTCAGCAAGTGCATCAAAGGACACTCACATGATGCCAAAACATGTTTCTCATGGTGAGAATAGTATAACCAATCTCTGTCCAGATTTTTTTTTCTTTTGCATTGATCTTGCTACTTCTGTTAATTGTGGGGGTAGGTGATTCATTGGTATCTGAATTTCAAAATAAATGCTTTTTAGTTGTATAAAATCAGTTCCTCTTATTGACACTGAAAATGACATTTTTTTTTTACTGCAGGACAAGTAAGGGAAGATAACCATACTGATTTGCCACCTTCACCAAAATACACTATGTCAGAGAAGTGGATTATGGCTAAGCAGAAAAAGAAGCTTCTGGATGAACAAAATTGGACTCTAAAACAGCAAAAAGCAAGGCAAAAAATTGCCACATGTTTCCACAAGTTAAAGGTCCGTTAGAAAGATAGTATGTGACTTCAAATATTGTTTATGTCCTTTTATTACCATGACATATTTTCCTTATAATTCCTGCCTGATGATTGGTATGGGTTTAATTTATAGTTACTATTATTAATTTTCTTTTGGGGAAGGGGAGTGGGGGGGCATGATGGGGTTCTGGAGGTTACTGTAAAAATGAAATTCAGCTTAAATAATCTCCTAACAAAACTTCTGTCAAATACAAAAGGGAACATATGCACGTACTTTAAATAGAATTATATTTAAAACTGATACACCTGTGTTAGAAGTTTTAGGGGAAGGATTGGATTTAGAATTCAAGGACTAATGTCTCTAACTTAATTGTTTTCTTATGGAAAATGTCTCTGGAGTGATAGCAATCATAATAAATTTCAAGTATGTGTACTGTGAAAGAATGTTGCGATCCAGAAAAGTTAAACATGATGCATGTATAAAATTTGTATCTTGTTTCTTTGTGAGAGTGGCATTAAGAAGGTATTGGTGAAGGAACGCAATGCTGCTCTATGATGACTTGATCATGGGGGCTTTGGATAACATAAAAATTCTCTCTCCTGGAATGATGGAAGAATGGAAATCTGGGTGTCAGTTTACCTCTTTAGTGAGATTGGCACCTTATAGCTTGATGTGAGGATCACGAATTAAAAGATGAATTAAAACGTTAATATACCTATCTGCTGCTGTGTAAGTTGTGTGTTATGCTCTGCGATCTTAGTTGTGTTTGGATAGCGCTGAACAGAGTCGCACAAGAAAAGTTTTTGGGCACATAATAATGTTCACATCACTGAAGGGATATTTATATGATTTGCTTGTTATTTTTCATGTGCTTTTATTATTCTTAACGTGTATCTCCCTGTTCAAACAATACATCAGTTACAAAAAGGAAATTATGTACTTGTCTTGTTTGCCTTGAAGATGTTGGAGTTGATAAATGATTTCCATATCATGATTTTGCCTAGTTGTTATGTGGTTGGAGCTTCAACCTGGGTATGTCATGTGGAACCAGTTACTGATATGCGACCATACCTGTGCCTTTTGCCTGACTGTTTTTGTTGACTCTTGCTTCTTTACAATGTATATGCGTTGTTTAATAGATTTGATTGTTCTATTCTATGTGCATGAATTTGTGTTCCCTTGTATATATATGAAGACTATTTCTTTGCAGAAAGATAAAGTGAACCAGATGCATGGTTTGATGGGTTCATTTTGGTCCTGTATTTGATATTTTATGCTCCTCATGTACTGCATTTTACTACTTGTAGGAAAATGTGAGCTCATCTGAAGATATATCTGCAAAAACCAAAAGTGTTATAGAACTGAAAAAACTACAACTCTTCGAGCTGCAACGCCGTCTCCGGAGGTAATTGTTCATCCTCTATGGGCTTCCATGTGGAAACCAATTACTCCCTCCGTCCATTATGGAATTGCCTTATTTACAGAAAAAATGAATTTTAAGGGCCACTTTAATGCTTTCCTACCGAATTAGTTAAATGAGGGTTGGGGGGTGTGTTGTTCTGTGGTTTTAGGTTTTGTTCCTCCCTGTTAGTTTGGGAGGGGTTGGTGTTGGTTGTTTCTTTCTGTTTTGTCTTTGTTCTTCGGTTGTGGTTGCCTTATCCTCCTCTGTGTTCTTTTGCTTAATAAATTTCGTTTCTTCTCAAAAAAATATGGAAATATTTTAATGCTTTCGTATAAAATTTTAAGTAACTATTTTAATGCTTTCCTACCTACTTCTCATGTGTTTATATTCAATTATTAATCTTACTTTTAAATTTAAAAATCCAAAGTACTTGCATAAAATGTAATTAAGGAGATGACAAAGGTTATTGTGGAAAAAGGGGAAATAAATTATTTGAATTTTGGATTGGATTCTTAAAAGGGAAGTGTAGACCATTTATTCAGGACAGAGGGAGTATATATTATCTCTATTTCTCAGTTTAAATGGTGCAAATCTTTTCTCTATATTTTGTTTTATTTTCTAGACACTTAATCCTTGTTTTGTTTCATTTGGGCAGTGAATTTTTGAATGATTTCTTCAAACCAATCAATACTGAAATGGATCACTTGAGAAACTGCAAGAAATTTAGACATGGTAGGAGGATAAAACAACTTGAAAAGTTTGAGCAAAAGATGAAGGAAGAGCGACAAAAGAGAATTCGGGAGAGGCAAAAGGAGTTCTTTGGTGAAATAGAGGTTCACAAGTACGTACTCTCTTTTTGTCCAATGTGTGTCAATACCCTTAGCTTTCTATGTTTTTAGAGAAGCTATAGTAATCATTACTTCCATTTCTCCTATTTCATTTGGTTTGTTGTGCATGCTTTTCTGACTTGCTTTCTAATCTGGACTTAAGGGAAAGACTGGATGATGTGTTTAAAATTAAAAGAGAGCGGTGGAAGGTTTTCAATAAATACGCAAAGGAGTTCCACAAAAGGAAGGAACGCATCCATCGTGAGAAGATTGATCGGATTCAACGTGAAAAGATAAATTTATTGAAGATCAATGATGTGGAGGGATATCTGCGAATGGTGCAGGTATGTTCTAAATTTTACTGACTTTAGGATTGCATCTTATTTTTATTCTTTTTGCATAACATTTTTGAAACTCATGATAGGATGCCAAATCTGACCGTGTTAAGCAACTTCTCAAAGAGACGGAAAAATATCTTCAAAAGCTCGGATCCAAGCTACGAGATGCAAAGGCTGTGGCAAGTCAGTTTGAGCATGATATGGATGAAAGTGGAAGTGGAGGTGCTATTGGGAAGAGTGAGCCTAGTTTTGAAAATGAAGACGAAAGTGACCAGGCAAAGGCAAGTTTGTTCTCTGTACACTACAGTTTTTTTCTGAAGTTCCCGCTCATTGTGTTATTTTATCACTGTTTTGCAGCATTACATGGAAAGCAATGAGAAGTACTATTTGATGGCTCATAGGTATGTATATGGCTTCTTTATCATGGATTTATTGTTGATGTCACCTTGTTTGCTGCTTTATAATAGAATTCCTCACTTTGTAACATTTATTTAGTGGTGGTTGAACTCAGCTAACCTCTGGTTCCTTTTTCGCTCTTTAAGAGATTTCCTCTCTTAACGTAGAAGTTGGACCATCTATTTTTTTTATAAAATTTCAATAAATATGAAAGTCTGACTGTCCTGACGCTGTCAATTTGACAAAATATTTTCCCATATTAGTACTGATTTACAGCTCTAACCAAGTATCTTACAATCAACTTTGGTTTTTGCAGTATAAAAGAGAATATCGCTGAGCAGCCATCTAGTCTTAATGGTGGAAAATTGAGAGAGTGAGTAGAATGTGATCTGATAGATATATATTATCTTATGTTGGGGGAAGCATAAAAGGGTTGATCTTCTCTTTCTCAACTTTAAAAGCAATTTTTTTTTGGGGGGGTGGGAGGGTGTGGGGTGGGGGTTTGTTATATCCATTTGAATTGATCGAGGGAGGTGTTTTTATTAACACCTCGTGTGATTTTTCTAAAAATGGTATTTTTGACGTTCAGGTATCAAATGAATGGCTTAAGGTGGTTGGTGTCTCTATACAACAATCATTTGAATGGTATACTTGCTGATGAAATGGGTTTGGGTAAAACTGTTCAGGTAGGGATTGATTATGAGTCCTCCCTAAACCATTCACAGTTTGTTTCCAGTTTACACGTCCATAATCTAAAACATGTTTGTTTTTAGGTTATTTCTTTAATTTGTTACCTGATGGAAACAAAAAATGATCGAGGACCTTTCCTAGTGGTTGTGCCATCTTCAGTGTTACCCGGATGGGAATCAGAAATTAACTTTTGGGCCCCTAGTATTCTTGGGATCGTCTATGCTGGGCCCCCTGAGGAGAGACGTAGGCTATTCAAGTAATCCCATTAAAATCAAACTGCTATACTTATGTATTTTATTTATATTTATACAGAAGCTCAGAAAGTACTTTACATTGCAGGGAAAGAATAGTTCAACGGAAATTTAATGTCCTCCTTACTACATACGAGTATCTGATGAATAAGCATGACAGACCTAAACTAAGTAAAATACACTGGCATTATATAATAATCGATGAAGGCCATCGGATAAAGAATGCTTCCTGCAAGTTAAATGCTGAATTGAAGCATTATCAAAGCTCTCATAGATTGCTGTTAACTGGAACTCCACTGCAGGTTTCAGGATCTCTTTTCGTGTGCTTTTCTTTTATTTATTGTTTGCACTCATTTCCTGTGGTTTAATAAATGTGTATTGTCTTTCCTTTGTGTATTAATGCAGTATCCTGATTACTTTCTATTCTTGTGTTTTGATTAGAATAATCTCGAAGAGTTGTGGGCGCTACTAAATTTCTTGTTGCCTAATATTTTTAATTCATCAGAAGATTTTTCTCAATGGTTCAACAAACCATTTGAAAGTAGTGGTGATAGCACAGCTGACCAAGTAAGCTTTGGAATGTTTTATTTGAGAATTGACGTTTTAAAAACTATTGCGACTCCGGTTGCATTAAAATCTGACAGTTGTGTATGTATTGTTGGCATATATTGACAAGGCCTTACTCTCTGAGGAGGAGAATCTGTTGATCATAAACCGTCTTCACCAAGTTCTTCGACCATTTGTCCTTCGGAGGCTGAAGCATAAGGTTCCTAAAATTTGTTTTCTGCTTATCAATAACATTTGCATTTGGAATGTGTTTTTTTTTATTGGATTTATTTTTGTTTGTGTGGCTTTGAAATCTGGTTTCTTATATGCATGTAATGTGTTTATATATGAATGTGTGCGCATACAGGCATGCATGTCTATGGTTTTCTGGAATTCTTTCTTGTGTATCCATTTATGTATTCTTGTCAAGGAAATTGTTTTGTCGCCACAAAACTTTTAAGAAATGACTTGGATACTAACATTGTGTCTTATCCATGCTAATCCCATACATGTCAGTTGATCAACAAAATCCTGGTTAACTTCATTATTTCTGTATGGAAGGCATGTGTAGACTTGGTAGTTTGATTATGATATGCAGTGCTGCATGATTGATTTGAGGTTAACTTCCAATAAGACCTGACTTCTGAATATTTTCTTTAGGTGCTTAGTGCTTCTGGCTTTTGTATTTGATTTGTTATGGAGTGTGTTACCTTGAGAAATTTGATATAAAATGTATTGCTTCTGGGCCCTTGGTAATATTTTATTGAAGTTTCTGTTCTATCTTTTCTTTTTGAGAAGAAACGAAATTTATTAAGCAAAAGAACACAGAGGTGGATAAGGCAACCACAACCGAAGAACAAAACACAAAACAGATAGAAACAAACAGCACCAACAACTCCCAAACTAACAGGGTGGAACAAAACCGAAAAACCACAAAACAACACACCCTCCAACCCTCATTTAACCGCGGCTGCCATATCCCTCATAATTGTGGAATAAGAATAGTCTTTAAAATCTTTTGTAACAGAAGCCCAAAAAGCTGCCCAGTACTTAACTCTATCCCAAAGATCACTCACTCTCACTCCCTTATAGTCTTCAAAGATTCTCCTATTAAGCTCCATCCAAATGTTCCAGAAAACAGAGTGAACCAAACAGCCCCATAAGCTTGAAGCGCACTTCCCCGATCCCCAAACCACAAAGTCAAAACAAAGAAAATCAGAGCACCCTTTCGGAATCACCCGAACAGTCCCAACCTCCCTCCACAAGAGCCACCAAAGACTCAAGGAAAAAGGACAATGTAAGATAAGGTGGTCCACACTCTCCTCACAAAGCTTACATAAAACACACCAGTGAGGAGACAGGTACATAAAGGGTCTTTTCCTTTGGACAAGATCCGAAGTGTTAACTTTCCCAACCGCCACCAACCAAACAAAGACTTTGACCTTAGGGGGAGACTTGGCCTTCCACACAAGAGAGAAAGGAGGAAAGGTCTCTGCCCTCCCCTTGTTTCGCAAAAAGGATTGAAAGGACTTGCATGTGAAAGATTCCGAATCCTCTAGATCCCACCTTCTCCTATCCCTTTTAGAGGCACACAATCTGATACCTTCCAGAGTTTCCAGCAACTTGATCACCTCGGCAGTCTCCCTTTCAGTTTCTGTTCTATCTTTAGAAAGGCATTCAATTGTAAATGTTGAGTTTTGGAAGTTTCTATGTTAATGTTCCTGCATTTTAAAAATTTTTTTTTTGGCAGGTTGAAAATCAACTACCCGAAAAGATTGAGAGACTGGTAAGATGTGAAGCTTCTGCTTATCAGAAGCTTTTGATGAAGAGGGTAGAAGATAATTTGGGTACAATTGGAAATTCCAAGGTATTTTTGATTCTCCTTTCAATTTAGGAAGGTGAACTGTTAAGAGTATCTTATTATAATTTACACATTTTTTTTCAGGCCCGGTCAGTGCACAACTCTGTTATGGAGCTTCGAAATATATGTAATCATCCATATCTCAGCCAGCTTCATGCAGAGGAGGCATGTTCTTTACCTGTTCATTTTAAGTTTTTATTTGCTCATATAAAAGATGCTGAAAGGGTTAAGGAAGCAATTTTCATTATTACCTTGTGTTCTCAAGATAAACTTCTTTGTCTGATTGCTTCTTGTAGGTTGATACCTATATACCAAAGCATTATCTGCCACCAATTATAAGGCTTTGTGGGAAGCTTGAGATGTTAGATCGATTACTTCCCAAGCTAAAAGCAACAGATCATAGGGTACGGAAGGCATTTTACTTGTGTCTGGCTACATGATTTTTTGTTTAACTCTCTTTTTGTGAATACTCCAGTTGTTGGACTTGATATCAGAGTGCAACTGATTGGAACTTGTCACTGTGCAGGTTCTTTTCTTTTCCACAATGACTAGGCTACTTGATGTTATGGAGGAATATCTCAACGGTAAACAATATCGGTACCTCAGATTGGATGGACATACATCAGGGGGTGATCGTGGTACCCTTATTGACATGTTCAATAAACCGGATTCTCCCTTTTTTATATTTCTTCTGAGGTGATTCTTTTTGTGCGTATTGTACTTTTATGTCTGCTTTTACTGGGTTAGGTGGTTCAATAGGTTACGGGAATTTCGGGTTAGAGGGAGAGCCTGCAGGGGCTGTGCTATGATTTAGGTGTAGGTTAAACCTTACATGTGAAGTTGGAAGCAACAAAAGGTGTGCTTTGTAGTGTCAAAAGCACTTTCCGATAAAAGGTGGTTTTTATTATTGAGTTTTTGTCTGAAACGGACAAAAGTGTTTTTGGTGGTGAGAGGAACCCTTTTAGTGCTTCATGGAGAAGGACTGCAAGGTGAATATGGAGGATGCATTTCATGTTTGATGATTTTTCTTATGTGCCTCCAACATATGCGCTTCATACAAAAGCTCTACCAAATAGGCTGTAGGAATCCTACACTAATTTAGTAAAATCTCACTTGGGTTCTAGAGTTAGGCCACCATATACTGGGTTGCTTCGTGCTTGACACTGATGTAGGTTGTTACTAGCAAGTAGTAAATAAAAAGTATAGAAGTTCTGTTGTGCTGATATGTGTCTGCAGGGTGCTGATATGTGCCTGCAGGCATGATTGTGTGCACACGAGTATAAATGGTACTGACATATGTATGATTTTGATAGCATTCGGGCTGGTGGTGTTGGAGTAAATCTTCAAGCTGCAGATACAGTGATAATATTTGACACTGACTGGAATCCACAGGCAATTTTCAAAATTACTGTTCAATGATTTATATTTTGAATTTAAACCATATAGTTTCAATTCTATAGTTGATTTATTTTTTCATTTGTAAATTTTCAGGTTGATTTGCAAGCTCAAGCAAGGGCTCACAGAATTGGCCAGAAGAGGGATGTGCTTGTTCTTCGATTTGAAACAGTATGCAATTTCTCCCCTGGGCTATGTTTCAATTTGAAACTGCTCTTTTTCTTCTCTATTTATGTTTTGAAATTAAATTATCTACACTTTAGGAGTCTGGATGTCTAAGTTCTTGAATTGTTTCTTTTGTATAAGGTTCAAACTGTTGAGGAACAAGTCAGAGCTGCAGCTGAGCACAAACTGGGAGTTGCGAATCAGAGCATTACTGCTGGTTTCTTTGACAACAATACAAGGTTAATTTGAATTGTTGCTGAGCTAAACTGTGTTGCATACCCTTCTAAAGAAGTTGCTAATTGTTCTTGAAAATTGTTTTACCACAGTGCTGAAGATCGAAGAGAATATTTGGAGTCCCTTTTGCGTGAGTGTAAGAAAGAAGAAGCTGCACCTGTATTAGATGATGATGCTTTAAATGATCTCTTAGCTCGCAGGTACATACAGTCTGATGATTTTTGTTGTTTATATTTTGCTCTTGACGTGACTGATCGTCTGAATGAGATTTCCTGTTTCAGCATCAATTTTATAGGGAATAGCATTTCCATCCATAGCTTTCTTGAATAGATGGAGCACTCTGTAGACTATGGTACCTTGCCGTTTTGCTTTGGCTTTCATGACATTTACTGTTTTCATAAGCAATGATGAGTTTGCTGTCCTATTTTTTCCCTCCTGTTAAAATTATCTACAAACTCGGAAAGGCTGGGAATTTCGCAATCAGAAGTCATTAGTATGTTGGATTTGGTTAATGATTAATATGCAAAGCCATTTTTCGCTTGCTGGATTTTGTTTGTCATTATTATTTGATTTTTATTTTTATTTTTGCTTGCTGATTAATGATTAATGAAGGAAAAAATTATTTTATGCGAAGTTTTTTTGCTCAATTTTTTTATTTGAAGTTGATTTATTAATGATTGCCTCTCTTCCTGCAGTGAGCCAGAAATTGATGTATTTGAAACTATAGACAAAAGAAGACGAGAAGAAGAGATGGTATTCACTTAACATTTGCACTCAATGCTGTCTCTTTGGTTTTACATTGCATAAATATCCTTGTATATCTTGCATGCTACCTGTTCCTCTGATGCTGCAGCTTTATTAAAAAAATTAATTTTGTAGGCAACATGGAGGAAATTAGCATGTGTTCAAGGCATGGATATTTCTGAAACTCTGCCTCCTTTGCCTTCTCGCCTCGTTACAGACGATGACTTGAAGGAGTTCTGTGAAGTAATGAAGGTATATGAGGTGCCAAAGACTGGTGAAGTGTCTAATGTCGGGATAAAGCGTAAGGGTGGGGCTCTTGGGGGCCTCGATACTCAACGTTATGGCAGGGGCAAACGGGCAAGAGAGGTTTGTTTTTCATATTTGATTCTTATTGCTTGATTGTATCCTTTATGTTCTTGTGTTTCTTTGACCACAAAGCTGCCAATTGAATGTGAATCTGTTTCTGTCAATGCTTTTTAGGTGCGTTCATATGAAGAACAATGGACAGAAGAGGAATTTGAAAAGTTGTGTCAGGCTGACTCACCTGATTCCCCCACAAAATCAAAGGAAGAATTTATGGAGTCAAACTTGCCAAAAGATGAGAGTGGGTCTGTGGTGGCTGTTTGTAAAACAGAACTTCCTGCTCCACTTCCACCACACTTACCATTACCCTCTGTGGAGCTGCCCCAGATACAGCAAAGTAAAGAGGTTACACCACCAGCTAAACGAGGCCGTGGAAGGCCAAAAAGAGCAACACTGGATCAATCACCAACTGCGATGGCTCTTACAGCACCTTCTGGAACTGTCAAAGTGGATACTGGGTTACAGAGAGGAATGGTGTCGAGCCCTGTAACAAATTCAGGCCCTGATTCATCACCTAGTTCTGTTAATGTACAGGGTATTGGTGGAATTGTACAACCTAATAGTATCGTGGCCTCACCTAGCTCTCAGCCAACTGCTCCTAAACCTTCTGTTACTCCTGGTTCTCAAACTACCATTGTTAGCCCGTCTGCATCAACACAAGCATCAACACAAGTAAGAGGACAAGGTCGGAAAAGTCAAAGTGGATTAGAAGCACCCAGGCGTAGGGGAAAGAAACAGGTGCCACAATCACCTGGTGTTTCTGGTGGATTAGCTGGTTCTGATCCAAAACAAAATGAAGTATCACAGAACACATCTGTGAACCCATTAGAAAATCAAGCCATTGGCATGAGCGAAACTGTTTCTTGTACTTCTGCAGTCCAACATCCTGATTCTTTACCTGGTTCTGTTCCTTTACAAGGTGCCAATGACACTGATCATCAAGTTGGTGGTGCGATGGCTTTGACTTCTCAGCCAACCCTTCCGTCCCCATCTGTTACTCCTTCCTCTCAATCTTCTCCTTTCCCTTCTGTACCTGTGCAAACGAAAGGGCAAAACCGGAAGGCTCAAAGTGGCGCAGGAGCACAGCGGCGTAGGGGAAAGAAACAGGCGCCAGTATCACCTGCTGTTCCTGATGTGTTAGATGCTCAGGATTTAAAACCAAATCTGCAACCACAGGATAAACCTGGAGATTTATCTGTGAGCAAAGACAGTGCTGTGAGAAGTAAGCAAGAGGCTGATGGTTTACCTGGTCAGAATCTGAACTCAACTGCAGAATCAGTAAATTTAGCTGAAGCCAAGCAGACAACAAGCTCATCAATGACACACGGGACTGCCCTCAGAACCCTGGGTAAATTCTGTGCATGCATGCATGTTTAGGAAGAATTTTTCAGAACTGAAATCATGATAAATTTCCTTACATAAACTGAGACATTTTAATATTGTGCAGGCCCTGCAACAGGGGAAGGCCTAAATGTTATTGCATGCAATGCTACTGTGACAAAAGAGGCTTTGGCTGAAAGTTGCTCATCCAAACCTAAGAATGACAAGGTTTCAGGGAATGAAGGTGCTGCCATACCAGCTGAGGTGAATAAGAGCCAGAGTTTGGAGGATAAAGCTTGTCCAGCTATTGCAACTTCCATAACTGCGGGCCCAGCTCATACTCCTTTAACTGATTCCTTTCCCAGTTCCACTGCTGTGGAAAACACCAGTGAGACAAAATATGACGTTGCTAAGATTGCTCCTGGCTCTCAGTCAACGCCTTCGTACCATTCTGTTCCTCTGGCATCTCAATCTATCAATCCTTGCCCTTCCGAATCAGTAGAAGTCAAACGACAAGGTCGAAAGACTTCAAACAGAGCAGAAGCACCCCGTCGTAGGGGAAGGAAGCAAGCTCCAGTGTTACCTGCCGTTTCTGATGGTCCAGCCGGTCAGGATCCAAAATTAAATTCTCAATTACAGAATGCATCTGCTGTTACAATGGGAAGTAAGTCTGTTGCTCCGAGAAGTAAGCAAGGTACTGATGGACAGGAACTGACAAATGCTATTCAGGCCCAGACAAGCCAAGTGCATTTGGCTAGCAGTTTAGTGGGTCATGATCCAAAAAGAAAAGAGCAGTCAGGCTATTCTGCCCATAATAGGCAACCTACAAACTCATCATCAGCACTTGACAGTGCTCCTGGATCTTCTGATAAGAGTTCTGCTTTGGGCCGTATCCAGACTGCTGATGTAAATGATGTTGCTCGTGTGATGAAGGAGGTCTTTTCTGGAACCTGTTTGTCAAAAGCTAAAATTCCTGAAACTTTCGGGAGAGAAGGTAGGGTTGCCCCCTGTGTACCTTTATCAAGTAAGATTCCTGTGGACACAGCCAAAAGCCAATGTTTGGAGGATAAATCATGTCCTACTCTGCCAACTTTGGAAACAGCAGCTCATCTACTTGACCTTACTGGGACTGATGCAAAAGGGGAGAGGGACAAGACACCTGCTTTGAATGAAACCCATGTTCCCATCACTAATATGGACCAACCTGAAAGCAAGACGACTGTGGGCTCCATCAAAGAATTGAAAGGTTCAAAACAACTTTCTGTTGATGGCACAACTAGGGTGAGTAAGACTGTTTTTCAAACAGAGTCTCCAGATGTTGATGTGACTGCTTCTAGTATAGGGGCTTGTGGGAGTGAGGTAAGTTCATCTTTGGTATTTTCAAGTAGTGTTGAGCATCCTCAGGTGATTGGTGGAAACAAAACTGAATCTTTGTCAGGAGAGTCTCCTAAATCCTCTTCTGTTGATTTAAGTGACAATAAATGTCCTACGATTTCCATGAATACAGACAATGCCAGTCTTCATCTTGGATTGACACCTCCTGCTCCTGAGGGCCCAGTTGAGTCAGGTGTGGTGGGCCCTCCTGCTATGATTGATTCTGAAAACAAGATAGAGCCTTGTGATAAAGAGCATCCTACATCTCCTCCTTGTATTGCGGCCAGCCTTGACTGCCCTCCCCTAATTCCCAAAGATTCTGATGATGTTAGCAATCATTCTAAAGACACTTCACCCATTTCTGCAAGTCCAGATCGTTCAGCTGTCACACCTGATATTACTGAAATGACTGAAACAAATGCCGTAGACAAAACAGAGCCTTCTTCAAAAGAGTCTCGAGAATCTTCCCCCCGTGAAAATGTATCCACAACATTTGAAAACGTTTGTGGCCCTCCCCTAATTCCCAAAGATTCTGATGATGTTAGCAATCATTCTAAAGACACTTCACCCATTTCTGCAAGTCCAGACCGTTCAGCTGTCACACCGGATATTACTGAAATGACTGAAACAAATGCCGTAGACAAAACAGAGCCTTCTTCAAAAGAGTCTCAAGAATCTTCCCCTCGTGATAATTTATCCACAACATTTGAAAACGTTTGTCCAGGAGAGAGTGCACCCATGTCTGTTGGTTTAGAGGATTCGGAGCTTCCTGGCATGGCTGAGAATGACTCTGGAGAAATGGTTGAGTCTGCTTCAAAAGGTTATCCAAAATCTTCTTCCGTTGATATAAGCCATGAAATTTCCACAACTATTACCACAATCCCAAATATTGTGTTTGGTGGTGGTTGTATTGACAAGGTTGATGTGCCTTTTACAGAATCTGAAGCTGCTAATTGTTCTGGTGAAGGTAATTTTTCGAATCCTGAAATTTCCTCGAAGGCTGATGATTTCAAAGTCACTCTTGGGTCAGCTGATGTTGCCTCAGGGCATAATACTATGCATGATATTCCTACTGAAAAGGGCATCTTGGAACTTCGAACTGATGTGATTGAGGATGGTAGTATTGATGTGTGCAATATGGAAGTTGTCCCCTCTGAGGGTGATCAAATGAATGTTTCTCATGTTGGTTGTTATCCATCTGAAAAAGTATCAGACACGAGTTTACCTGCATCTTCATTGTTAACAGTGGGAGAAATCGATGACTCATCTGATAGAGGTCAAGTTGACAGCTATGTAGCACAGGAGAACCCAAAAAGTTCTGGTGCAGCATTGGTTGTTTCTCAGGATGATGGTTTCGTTTCAGGAGACAGATCAGAAATCTTAGAGTCATCTTCCTTGGTGGAAGAGGAACCAGTAGGGGGCGCATCTGTGAAGTGCCAAAATTCCAGTTCGTCATCTTCAGAGGAAAGGAAAGATTCTGTTACTGAAAAGGATGTTATTTTGTCAGAGGAACTTATACCAAAAAACTTGGATGTTCCTTTATCTTTAATTGCACAGGAAGAAAATATTGAGGGTTCATCTGAGGAGAGGCCAAGTTGCAGCTCGATACTACTGGAAGATTCAAAAGGTCCTGGAGCTTTAACAGTTGTTCAAATTGATTTACCTCAGGTTTGTGAAACTTTGCAAGAGAATGTTGTATCAGAAGGTATGGATCCACCTTCATCTTCCTTAGTGGCTGGAGAAGGGACGACTGAGGAAATATCTAAGAAGAATCAAGTTTGCAGATCTGTACCCGTGGAGGAACCAGAAGTTTCTGGAGCTGAAAGAGATGCTCAAATTGATTCGTCTCAGGTTGATGGCATTTTACCGCAAATGGTTGTGACAGACAACTTAGGTTCTCCTCCATCTTCTTTAGTGACAGAGGAAGGAAAGATTGGGGACTCATTGGGAAAGTGTCTACTTGGCAGTCCAGTACAAATGAAAGAAGACAAGATTGATGGAATATCTATGAAACGTTTGGGTGGGAATTCAGACCTACTGGGAGAATCACAAGGATCTGATGCTGAAATGGATGTTCAAATGGATGTTTCTCAGGCTTGTGGGTTTCTAACAGAAACTGAAAGTGTTATTGTGCCTTCATCTTCTGCAGCAGTTAAGGAAGGAAAGATTGAGTGCTCATCTGAGAGGGGTCCAGTTAACAGATCAATAGTGCTGGGGGAAACATCTGAAGATTTAGTTACTGATAATATGGTTGTTTCTCGGGTTGGTGTGTTTGTGCCCAAAAATATGTTAGAAGCTGCAGTTCAACCTTTATCTACTTTGACAAAAGAGCAGCAAAAGACTCAGTGCTCTTCTGAGAAGGATCAAGATGGCCGCTCAGTACAACTGGATGAACCAAATGGAAAGGAAGATGAAATGGATCATCAAATGGAAACGCCCAGATATTCTGGGGATTTGCCAGACTGTATTGTATCAGAAAGTGGGGATTCGGAAGAGAAGATTCCGGGCTTATCCGAGAAGGATCCTGTAAGCAGCTTAGCACCACAGGTGGAATCAAAGGTTTCTGAACCTGAGATGGGTGATCATTTGGATGCATCTAAGGTTGGTTGAACTCAATGGGAATTAAGTTAAACATTCATTTATTGTTATTATTATTTTTTGAATTGATCAGAGTTTTGTACCTTGATTTTGGTAGCCAGTTGGCTTGTTAGTTTATAAGTTACTAAACTCTCTCTTCTCTCTCTCTCTCTACCCCCCCCCCCCCCTCTCATCTCTTCTCCTCCTCCAC